CCCCAAGGTCTGGAACAGCCTGCCATAGGAGGTGGTCCAAGCACCTACATTGAACACCTTGAAGAGTAAATTGGATGCTTATCTTGCTGGGATCCTATGACCCCAACTGACTTCCTGGCCACATGCCCAGATAATACACCTTCTTTTAGACGCAAGAGAGACCTATGCTCTGCCAAAGCTGGTAACTAATTCTCGTACTCAGGAGAATGTCCTGCAACTGTTATTGGGGTGACGGGACAGTGTCCCCCTCATCTCCCTTCATTTGACTAAGAGTACAAGCATAAATTTGCTTTCGTCTTTTCGTGTGTGTGTGTGTGTGTGTGTGTGTGTGTGTGTGTGTGTGTGTGTGTGTGTGTGCATTCATCTGTGTGTCTCTGTGGGCATGTATATACGATGCCTATTGTATACACAAGCCCACAGAAATTTGCATTCTTTTTATCATTTTCAGCTAATCTTCCTTAGTTTACTGGATAAAATAAGTTTTGTTGCTAGCAGTACTGCAACCTGTCGTGGGAAAATGAATTTATCATCTTTGTTCATCTTTATCATCACATATAATGAACCAATTTCTGTAACGTGCAGAGTGGCTGATTGTTGGTGATGGTACCATTCATCAGAAAAAATACAAATAGACTTTCTCAGACTCAACTGACCTGGGAGTGTTGAGAGTAACATTAAACTTACTTTGACTTGTAAACTGAGCAAACATGACATGGAGGTCATAGAATAAGGACATATATGCATCTTCCAGCCTTTGTTTTGTCAAAGTGACTTCTTTCTCTAGAGGAATATTTTTACCATTTTTTCCAGAATGTTTCACCTTTCACTGGTTATTAATTCAACCTTCCCTTAACTGTCAAATTATGATTCAGGTGCCCATAGAGAAACACCTGGGAATTATTTCTTAATTCTTTTCAGCATTTACTTGAGCACATCTAGTTTACTCAGAAGATCTGAGGAACTGAATATATGGAGAACTGAACAAATTGAATGTAAAACATTATAATGTTAAAAATAAGATCATTTTTAGAAAGACCAGGCTTCATGATTGAAAATATTTCTATCTTAAGGAAGGAGAACAAACGCTGCACTTATTCTGAAAATCTGTTTATTTCTTAGGTTTATTTTGGTGCTGTACTCTTCAAGGCTTGTTGAGATAATTCTCCTGTGTTTGGTGCAGTCAAACACTTTATAGGCCATCTGGCACTATCAATTTTTAAGCAGAACTCCTTCATTGGGTTCATTGAGGAGGTTCTGCTTAAAATTTAATTATTCAATATGCCCTTATTATTTCCACATTAACAGTCTACAAAATGCTGTTGATGTAGCCTGGATATAATCCTAACACAAGACATTTTAAAAAAATAAAGGGCACCAACACTGGCATTGGAATTTTAATGTTGTGTAGAGGAGCAATGTTAGGGTTCAGTCCTGCCACCCATAAGAACGAGTATCACTAGCTCTTACACACTACTTTAAATCAGTAGATATCAAAACATTTTACAGCCAAGTCATGGTCTTTTTTGTGCATTTTACAGATAAACGAATTTACTGAGAGGGGAAGTGAATTGCCTAAAGACACCCAGTAGGCCTCTGGTAGTGCTAGAAACAGAATCCAGATTTCTCAGTTATACCAGGGCACATTGCCTTTTACATGAAAAAGACTTTGTTTCCCCCCACTAAATTTGAGGAGCAGACATGATTAAGGGTGGCAAGCTTGAATCCACATTTTTGTTTGTTGTTTAGCTCAGTAAAATCACTCCCAAGTTTTGTTATATGAAAATGATAGACCAGGAAGTAGTGTAGGCCAGAAAGCAGTGGGGTCTTGTATACAATAGAGAAGAGAAGGTTTGTAGGGTTTATGGTATAAGAGTTAACTTTATTTCTAGAGTAATATCCAGTTTCCCCTGTAGGGACATTTTTAGCAACATGACCATGACAGATATTTGTTTTTGAGATGTGTATTATCATAAAAGAATTCTCCACATCATGGCACGATGAGAGAGATGAATGCTTCTCTTTGTACAACACAATTAATTGTACAATGCCCTAAATTAAATGTACAGAACATTACAACTTAACATCACACTAAGTTTTGGACCATTATTGCAGAATATGAATGTGTTTCAGTAAAGGATAGCACAATGCAAAAATTTTACAGTAAACTGCACTTAAAGAAAACGTTGGTCTCTAAATATTGTTGTTTGTTTTCTCAACAGAGCTACAGTGAACCTGTTGATGTTAAGGCATCCCAGCCACCTCAGATGATTAATTCAAAACAGTCAGTGTTTCATGGGCCTGCACAGGCTCCTTCTGCACTGTATCTAAGTTCCCATTATCACCAACAACCAGGAATGAACCCTCACATAACTGCCATGCACGCTAATATTCCTAGGAATATAGCACCCAAGCCCAACAACCAAATGCCAGTGACTGTTTCCATAGCAAATATGGCTGTATCCCCACCACCACCACTTCAGATAAGTCCACCTCTCCACCAGCATCTCAACATACAGCAACACCAGCCAATTACAATGCAGCAGTCCATTGGAAACCAGCTACCAATGCAGGTCCAGTCTGCTTTACATTCACCTACAATGCAGCAAGTAAGTTGTAAAATGTGATTTTTTTTCAGGCTGTTTGGAAAACTGTTTCATTTATTCCATTTCATTTTTCCAAACCAATGAAAACATTTGATGAACCTGTAGTGGGGTGTTTTTGAGTCATGGACTAACTTCAGTTTTGGAACTTTCCAGTATTTCTATAATACAGTTCTTGGTGGTCTGTACTGCAAAGATTTGAACTCATGAGCAACTTTATTTATAAGATTAGTCTTCCAGACCTCAGTAGAATCGGCCACGATAATAATGTTATTCACGTGATACAGAAGATTGGCTCTCAAACCTTAGAATTCCATCTCATCTATATAAAGAGAGTGTCTATCAGAAATAGATTACTGTTATTCAACAGAATTGCCTCCACGGTAGAAAATACCCTGAAGAAGAGGTGAAATCTTAAGGCTCCTGAAATTTAGATTTTATGATGCAGTTTGTAAACTCTGAGTATATCTAGACTAGGGTCAGTAACAGGCAGGCCCTGAGCCAGATCCAGCCCACAAAGTAGTTGGATACAGCCCAGAAAGGTCCAAACCGTCCCAGAATTTGCACAGAGGATTGTGTGAGTACAGACTTGAAGCCTACAGCAGGTAGTTGAGTTGCAAAAGGTGGCAAAATGTTGCAAACCCCTGATCTGGAAAGGAAAGGAAAGTGATTGTAGCATGTACTTGTATATGTGCAAAATGCGAAGCAGGCCCCAAGCTGGCAGTAGGTACCAGGGGTCAGGCCTGGACTCTTGGTAGCAGCGTCAGGCAGCAGAGGGGCTAGCAGGAGGTAAGAGCTTGGCCCACGGCTGACTGGGCTGATGAGGTGCAATTTGCACCCGTGGTCACCATCTTCATTTGCATTTAGTCATAGTTAAATACTCAGACAATACTATGTTACATCAGAGTTAATTAGTTCACTCACCCTAATACCAGCACAAGTGTGATGTTTTACTGCAGAGCTAATTAGTCTACTCCTCTCAGTAAAGTGCATGTGTAGATGTACTCTGTATATACAACTAATGAATTCAGGTTGATGTTATGGAATTATGAAATATCTATATGTTTTGCATGTTTCTGTGAATGGGTATTCACCTTTGCTAACAAGGTTCTAGCATTTACTTTCCAATCTAGTTGTAATAGTCATTAAAACTTAATGGTAGACTACTGAGAGGGGAGCAGCTTGGGACAAAAAATGTCTCCTACTCAGGAGAACCTAGGGAGTGGAAATGCTTTTAGCAGGATAAAAGGACAGAGGCAACAAAGGAGAGATGTGAAAAGGGACTCCCAGAAAGAAAAAGAAAAGTGAAAGCCTCATAGGAATACATTTGAATTCTTAGGCAGCAGAAAAGAAGAGGCAAGCAGACTCCTGTTAAAGTTGGGAAGTTAATTCTAGGACCAGCCAAAGTTAGAGAAAGCATGCTGGGCTAGAAAGACTCTATAGTTCAGAAGACACAAAAGGAGCTGCACAAGAGGAACCTGGGTCATCTCGGAGGGGCTGATTTTCTAGCCCCAAACAATGATTCCAAGAGGTAAGGAAGCCAAGGCAGGGCAATGTGTACAGGTGTTATTTTTGTCTAGATCTGTGTGTTTGTCATGCTAAGAGGAAAGAGAAATGTCCTTAGAATCCCGTGCAGAATCATTTGTGAACTTGAAGAGTTTAACAGCAGCCAGAGAGGCCATACAGCTGGAGTTCTGGTATAGAGTGGGTGTAAACCATAGGGCTTTTAAAGGGGGTAGCACTAGATCTGTGAGGGACAGACAGCCGAATCACAGTTCCATCAGTTACCAGGATGGATGCTAGATCAGGCATCTTCATTCTGACAGTAGGCCTAGTGACCTGCCAGCCAGAAGTACCCTGGACAGAGTATCCTGGACCTAGTAAACTAGTATCTAACACTGCAAGTATCCAAACAAGGGAGTTCTTTTAGTTTTGTGTCAGGATCAGATCCTAACTTTAGATGTGATTTGGACCTCACTTTGTATAATCATTTACATTGTTGTGGAGTCCTACCAAATTAGACTCATGCATTTTTTTTCACCCATTTCCACTCCTTCCTCTTGGAAGTAAACATCCAGGAAAGGTGCAAAGCAGTAGAAAAATCAGCCGCATCATTTCCTTTCATGATTACTCTTTTCTGTTTTGTTTTTGTGTGTTTGCAGATGTCTTAAATACCTGGTTTGTTCTTAAATACCTGCATACAGATGCAGAGTTTGTGGGCACAATTTATGAAGCTGGATTTGAAAATCTGGCATTGATTATTCAGTAGATAATATTATAGTTAACAGAAGGTGCAGTACAGGAGTTGGAGAGTTTTTAGCACTACATCTGGTTGATGGTGCCATACCATGCTCATCATAACTGCACAGACCTAAGCACTGTTCCATGATGTATTATTCAGAATGGTTACACTGCACAAAACCAATTAAATAAAATGTAAATTCTATTGCTTTTATTGTGTCAGGTTCAACATTAACCAGAAGAAAAGGAGAGAGTGAGGAATCTTGTCTTTTAGCATGTTACACGTATGTCACTAGAGTGAGAGAATTGTCACTCATAGCAGATGCTGTTAGCTGTGATATTGCATATGTTGCACAATGCCATTTCTTTCTGAAGGTATAACATAGGATGGAGAAAAGTCCATGGTAGACTGTGGTAGATTTGTGCTTTGCTGACATGCATACAACATTAAAAAAAAGAAAAAAAAAGTTATGACCCTGGTCACATCCTCTGTGTGAAGGTAGAAAAATCAGTTTAAAATACCACTATATTTTAAACAGGAATGGGAATATTGGTCCCCATTGTTCATCCAGGAAATATGACATTATCTCAGCTTCATTCAAGTTGACAGGTGCTTGTAACCTGTTGAAATGCTACACTGTTGGTTTTTATCTCTTGGGCCCTTGGCAGATGTGCAGTTAAAGCAAGGATGGGATCTGATGTGTGATCCCTACATGGTTTGCCCCCACAGCTGGAAGCCTGGATCAACTATAAGGCTTCCAGCTGCAGGCACACAGTGGAGCCTTTGGCTCCGGCTGTACCCGAAAGCATGGGAGCCCCGATCTGCCACTGCTTCCAGCCCAGGAGATGTATCAGAGTTAAGGGCTCCAATGCACCTCTCCTGCTGGGAGCAGCAGGTGATCACAGCTCCCAGCTTTGGGGGCACATGGGAGCTTTTGACTCCTGGCTACACATTCAGTTAATGGTGTGATAGGAACCAGCCGTAAAGTTATTATACATATTTTGTGTAATACCTTTGTGGCTTATTCCTTGTTTTATCACGCCATTGATTGCATTAACCTGCAATTGGGTAACTATTTAAGACACGATTAACTGGTTACTCTCAATTAAGTGTACATGTGCTGGGGACCTGACAGTTACCAGTATTTTGTATTTCAGAGGCAAGTATATTTGTTAGCTGTAAGGATTTCAAAACACTTTTCAGGGTGGCGACTAGGCAGCATATAGAAAGGTGGTAGGAATCTGAGTAAGCAGGAAGTAACCCAGAAGCTAAGGCCATACTTACATTGCTTCCCTGCCAAGCCAAGCTCCAATGACAAGCCCTGCCTACTCACTCCCATTCTGCAGTGCCAGACTGCAGTGTGATTAGGCATCTTGGAGCTGAGCAGTTCAGAGCGCATACCATAGCAGCATTCCAGGTTTTCCCTAAGACAGATAACCTGAGGGGTGTACAGGGGTATAGCATGCTTAGGACTGCTCTAAGCCATCTCTGCTCCTAATTGCTGGTTTTGGTACATATATAGAGCAGATGAAACAGTACTTGGTCCTCATGGACTCAGCAGAGATGGCCAAAGACCCCAACAAAGGCATCCTACATCTTTGATCTTCACATAGAAGAAGCTGGTCTGAAGTAAGGCCCAAATAGTAAAGACCAAATTGATCAAAGTCAAGTAAAGACTGAATAGATGAACAAGATACAACTGTATAACTGTAAAAAAGTGAAAGAAGGAAAACAGATAAGGAAGCCCTGCAGCACAGCCATACCGTTCTCACATATTCACAGACCTGGCAACCTCATGGGCTAAGAAGAGAATTAAAAGAACAGAGGATCCAAACACAACTTGTTTGTGATTCCAGGCTGCAAAAGTGAAAGGGGATAAGAAAGTTAGGACATTAAACTAGGGACTTAGAGAGAAGAAATTGTCCCAGGCCACAGATCGCTCGGAGGCCACTGAATAGGTAATGCCCCCTTACACAGTATCTTCAGGACACAACCTTACAGCAGGGTGCCTCCTCAATACAGACACTACATACAGGGGTTGCTCCTCAAGATTTTCTCCATCATCAGAAAGACCTACGTTTGTTCCCACACTGAGCCTAAAGCAGAACCCCAACAACATCAGTTTGTTTCCTTAAAATCCACACCACTGTGCCAGACAAAGGCAACAAACAAAATTGGGGGATGCATCAGCCAAGAAAAACCACCACAAATGGCCACATCTAGTCTGTTTTTCAAAAAAACCCACACCCCATCAGGATTCAGTTTCCAGAACCTGGAAGATGTCCACTCTAAGCAGGTACCAGATGTTCCCTTAGACTTCTGGTTGAGATCAGCAACTAGAGGAGACTCAAGTTACTAACCTGTTCTGTACACTGGGACTGTAAGGAGAGGGTATTTTTCCCTTCCAGAAGCTTCACAGCTGCCCCAGTTAAAGAAGGATAAGTTTTGTCATGACACACAACATTGTGACTCTGAAGTGGGCACACTTTCATTCAGGCGAGCAAGAAAAGGATGAGTCAGCAAGTGATTTCATAAAAACCTTCTACAGCCCAACAGATCTGTTGCAATAAAGAAATAAGAAGCGCCTTGTGGGGCTGAGGGGACAGCCAGAAGACTGCCCCAACACAGACTGGTAGTTCCCAGTAGATACTCCATCTGAATGGTGACGGACATGATAGTGGTCCCTGAAACACATTAACAAGAGAAAAAGGGGGTATTTGATAACAGTCTGTATTCTCTATGGGGACAGGACAAGGAGTTAATG